AAGATCCCAAAATAACAATGTATGTCAGATAGCTGCAACCTTAGGAACTAGTAGCCATGGAATAAACTGAGCTATAGAGTGTATATAGATATATATATATATACAATCTACAGAGTATATAGAACTAAGGTATTTTGAGCTCATGGTATTTCGAGCTACACCATGAATCATGAAAGAAGAAATGCTCAGGAATTTTAAACTGTAAGGGGTAGGATTCAGAGAGAACCAAATGACACACTTGTTAAAATAAACAGGATTTTAAGGCAATAGTTGTGATGCTCTTCTGTTGCCTCTATCTTATTCTAGCCACAGCTGCCATCAAGGATGTCTTTGGGTAACAAAGTACTCATTTTGCTGAACCAGCAAGCCTCCCCTCAATGGTAACTAACTCTAAGCACTTAGCCTCCGCTGCAGAGGCACTGACTACATCATGCCAGTACCACAGTCCCTACTTGACTGTGGTTCGATGGCCCAGTGCCCTCATGTGTACAACTTCCCCACACTACACTTTTTTAAGAAAGCTACAGTCAAACAGGAAAACAATAACCGGTCAGACAGACTGACAATAAGCACTAGGACTTTTTCAGAAAAGAACCATTACCAAATCATTAACGGTATTGACAGTGTTCACAATGCCAGGCATCTCTTACATTTACTCTCAACAAATCACTTGTACAGAAACCTCAGCAAAGACTGCCTAGTGAAACCACAACTGCTAAATTATTCATATATAGCAATTTATGAGGGAAAAAAAGCCCTGAAGAAACAGAAATTAACATTTGAAGAAATTAACATTTGAAAATACCCATCTAGCTAAATTGTCATGTCTAAAGCATATGCTTATAGCTGTGAGGTGGCTGGAACTTTTCAATCTCTTAAAACAGGTAAGGTAGACTAGAATGCAAGACGCTTTCTTAAACTGTTTTCTGACACTTAGGAGCTTGGAATCCATTCTCACAGCTCTTCATTTCAGCTTGTAAGAACACTTCCAATAAAAAAAAGCACAATAAGTAACATCTTTTCCACACAGAAAGCTGCAAACCACCTTCACATTTCAAGGTGAAACAGATGGCTTCATAAGAAACTTGTCAAAATGATCTTTACAACAAAGAATTGCAACAATCACAATCTTTTTATTCCCCTAAAAGTATCATGTCAGCACAATTCTCAGTTCTTGAAAGTAAGCAGCAGAGAAATAAGTAGGACATTCTAGAGGTGTATCGTAAAGGAAAAATGCAGTAACAGCACAAACTGGGCCAAAAGCAATAATCGGAATAAAATGTTCTAAGGCATTTTTAAGGTGAATTATTTTGAAGGAAACCATAGCCCAGTTTAATGAAGGGCATCTTCCAAATGGGACTGAGTCCCTCCTGGTCCACCCATAACAATTAACAGGCTGGATGGTTACTGACTTCTCATACTGAGAGAAGTATTCCACACTAGTTAGTATCTGCAAAGAGGCTCCAAAGCAAAGGAATCTGTCAGGTATCTGAGCAGAGTTCCCTTGAACTACCAAAGGAAAAGAGAGATTTGATGGATATTATGGGGGTGGAGAGGAGGGTGGGAAGAAGGGGGGAAAAGGATAGTAAGAATTACTGTGGATAAAGCTCTGGAAAGGTGAGACTGATACATTTCTTTAAGACTCATCAGCTGGAAAGTCTCCAGTGAAGGTCATCGTCATTTTTTGTTTCAAATGCTCATATTAACATATGAGATTCTTAGATGTAATAAACGAGCAACAAATCTGTAAGAAACTACTTTGGCAAAGTAGTGACAAATCTGACCAGACTTTTCAACTTCAATGGGAAGATTAGGGGAAACTGATTCACTACAAGTGAGTTTATGACACAATGTTTCTTTGACACAGACAAAGGAGGGGAGTGAGACACTTCCCAAACAGCTCATTAGCCTTTCCTTTAAACAGGCTGTAGGACATCAGAGTAACAAGTTAAGCAAGTAGATTCTTAAAAAACCACTGAGCTGTTGGAGCTCAGAGGTGAAATTTCCTTATTCCCAGCCATTCTATGAGTAATAGAAAAAATGTCCTTACGGTTCACCCATAATAGTGTGCACAGGGTAAGGCACTCATGGCTAAAATCTTTACTACAAGTAGTAAAGGCTTCTCTGATACTGATCAACAAATAAGGGTGGCTAAGCCATATATGAGATAAAATCCATAGTTCAAAGTAATGTTTTTATGGCCCTGTTGCCATGAGAAATGGGGTAAAACAACTTCTTGTTTAGTTGAGGAAAAATTACTTTTGATTGCTACTCCTGGTTGAAAAGATTTGTGATTCCAGGGCAGGTCCTCAGTAATTTTTGTTTTACATTAGAACATTGCAAGTGCCTAAATTATGGCCTTACTGCTGACTTATCAATACCAAAGGCTGAAAGCATTGGAGGAATGAAGTTGACAATTTTATTTTTCTAAACTGAACATACTTGCCATGTGGAAGCTGGTTTTCTTGCTCCTTGAATAACAAGAACACTTTGATCTCAAACCAGACCAGGAAAAGTAGATTGACAAATGACACAGCATGAAGTCTTTAGAGCATTTAGGAAAGCATCTGTAATAGCCATTACCTTCAGAAGTTTTTAGGAACAACAAGAGTAAGGCTAGTTCTGTAAGCAGCACATGCTCCAATTCTGAGTTATCAAACAATGAAAGGCTAGGGAGAAACAACCCTGAAATTTCACAATAACAAATAAATAGTCATGACTTTGCTAGCTGCCTGAACATGCGCTATTCACCAGAATTCCAGTCTTCTACCTCAGTCCCTATACAAATGAAGAACGCTTGAGGATGCAGAGCTACTGGGAGCTTCATGTCACACAACATTTTCAGTGCCCAGGAATTTTGGTAGGGATCATCATCATTAGTGTCTTCTAATCATCACATGGCCATCACATGGCCTCTTCATGTAGAACACTGTAGATTTCTTCAAACATGAAAATGCTCTCATGACAACTGAGTTATACATGGTCATGGGTCACATTCACAAAATACCAGTTTGAATAAGACAGAGTCTACTTAGGTCAAAATATTTGAGAAGATAAAGTAAAGAAAGGCTTGGAAACCTTGTTTACAAAAACTTATAATTTGGCAATCCATTGCAAAGTGGAAGACTCAGCATACCCATCTCCCAACCAAAGATACAAAGAATGCATAGAAGATTCATTATTGGCAATTTTGGTGGTGTCTGAAGAAGCGAAGGAGGCCTAGAGAGGATAACTTTTAAAATAATAATACAGATCAGCTAAAGCAAAAACAAAAAGGCCTGAAACTACAGAAAGCCTTCAAAGTTGCAAAACACTGAAATCAGCTGCTGAAGCAATATAAAAAGACACTGAGAGACAGATACCTGGAGACTGATACCTGCATGATACACCTTAGGCCTAGATCTGACAATGAACAAATTAGTAATTCAGATACCTTAGAAAATTAAGATCTCCAGTTCAGACACATGCCAGGCTGCAGAATCTGTATACCTTCTAAAAACGTAAACAGATCCTTTAGAGAAGGGTCATTTGTGGACTACATCCAGGAAAACTACTGAGTGAAATATGCAAGGGTAGAAGCTGCACCTAAGTGACAAGGCAACAGCCCTGTAACCTAATTCCTGTGCTGTTTTTGAAGGAACTTTTGATATCCTGGGAAATTTGTGGGTTTTGTGTTAAAGACTTGTAAATTTAGAATAGAGCACTGTTTGGATAACAATAGAAAATTAACTATTCATCTTAAAAGAACCAGTTGAGCTCTTATATCACAATGTACCTAAATGCTACATGAGAAATGCACAGTCTGTAAAAGACATATGCAAGCACTATGAATCATACACCCATTCCAGTTGCTCTGTCTTAACTGCAGTACAAAATCTAGATTTATGCATACCCACAGATATGCATGTATGCAGGCAAACAAATATGCACTATTATACTCGCCATATGCTCTGCCCGCACATATGTGTATAAAAATATACCAACGCAGACAGAGACATATGCACAAAAAGAGCTGTGTGGTGTTACCCTCGTGTAGCTCTACTGCAAGCACATCTTTTAAAGGCATGTACGTGCCCACAAGTGTCCACCCTCGCATGCAGCCGTACACACTGGTGCTCTGCCAGTTGCTCCAGCACTACGAAGGGATTTTCCTACCAGCAAGCTCAGGCAACTCTGATAGAGCCAACAGTGGTGGCTGCCAACTTCCACAACACCTTGTGCTTTTTCCCTAAAGCATTGACTTCTAGGAAGTTCTGAAAAAAAGGGCTGTCTTCAGATTTTGAAGGGGTTTTAAAAAATGAAAAAAAAAAAGAAAAAGAAGAAAAAGAAAAAAAGGAAACGGATTACCGGTGCTTTGGCTCAGTGCTGGTAAAGCTGACCGGGTGAACAAACTCCTGGCTAGCTCCCAGTCCAGGGTGAGCATGAAGGAAAGGTGCTGCCCAGCCCGTGGGATGCAGCGTAAGGGGGAACCCCAGAAGGGGCGAGGGGCGGCCGGGAAGGGCAGCCCGAGAGCCGCGGGGAGGCGGCGCGGAAAGCCCCGTGGGGCGGCCGAGGGGACTGGACTGGAGCAAGACAGCAAAGGAAGAGGGGCGCAGCCGAGGAAGGGGGTTTGAGGCAGGGGAAGGGGGAATGGCAAGCGGCTCCCAGAGCGGGCGGCGACGCAGGAACAAGGGGCGGCGGCGCAGCCCTACCCGCGGCGGTGCAGGTCGTGCTGCGACGGCTTGGCCTCCCCCGCCCCCGCGCCTCCCAGCCGCCGCAGGAGGCCCAGGGCGCCCCGCAGCTCGGCCTCGAAGCTGTCCACCGCTGGGTTGCCCCGCGGTGCGGCCCGGAGGGAAGCGGCGGGCGGGGGCTGCGGGCCGGCGGCGCGGAGCGGCGGCGCGGCGGGGTCCGCCATGGCTCGGCCCGGCCACGGCGGGGACGCGCAGCCGTCACCGGGCAACGGCCGCGGGCAGCGGCCCCGAGGGGTCACTGCCGGACAGGCCGGGAGGGACAGAATCACGAAATATGCTGAGCTGGAAGGGAACCACAGGGATCAGCGAGTCCAGCTCTTACTCCTGAATAGAACCATCTTCAAGGGTCACAACAGCGTATTTCACCGGGGATGTCACTTTGAACTGATTGTGCCACTGAGCCTGCCTACTGCACGGATATAGAAAAAAGATGAAAGTGTGCTTACCCTCTTAATGGTTATATTTGTCTATTAAAAAAAAGAAGGTGGCAAACTAGGAAATAACAGCCATATTTATGATCTAGGAGGTGGCCATAGCAACCTATGTGTTTTGAAGTTCATTACAGACACATGGTAAAGAGGTTTGGGAGGGATGTGAAGGAAACCGGCTCCGTTGCCATGTCCATCATCATGATGAGCATAAGGGACAGCTTAATTGAAAACATGAAAGTGAATGCTTAGAAATGTGAGTGAGCAATGAGTCCCGGTAGCCAGGGCCAGCTGGAGGCAGTTTCTTGACATTGAATGGAAAACGATCAATAGAGAGGAATAAGGCAAAGAAGTACTTGAAAAACTCATCCAAGGAATTCATAGATGACAGTAAAGGAACTACCCTTCGAACAACTGGAGAGATGCAGCATCAGCATGCTGAATGATTGGAATCAGAAAATACTGCATTAGCGAGGCCAAATAAACGATATGGGAATCATCTACATATTATAGGTAAGATGCAGAAATTTTAATTAACTTATGACTAACGTGCCTGACTCATTTTACACAGTGATTTTGTATTGTATCCCACCTGCCGGGAGTTGTGTGGATCCAAGCCCAACAGGTATTGTGCGACTATGGGAAGATGTTAGCAAGAATCATTACAGGCAATTCGTATGCATGAAGTCAATTCCAGTGACAATGGCTATGCCATTTAGGTGGGAGCAATTTAGGCTGAACGCAAGAGGAAATGGGTTCCTCAAATTTCTGTGGAGATAGTAGAAAACGAAGCCTGCAATGAAAAGATACAGCAAAAAGGTGTTGATGCAGGGATTTAGAAATCACTGGGTACAGAAGCAAATTTTACAGGACAAATGAAATATGAGAACTTGGCTTGGAGAGCAATTACTGCTACATTTAAAGATTTTGCCTGTGCTTTGCCATGCTAACCAAAGAGCTCCCTATGATGGATTCCAGATGACTAATAAACACTGGCCTCTTGTGAAAGGCAGCTTGTGCCACTTGTGAGTATTGCTGGTGGCATCCGTTTCAAGTCCCTATGAAGTTCTGAGCTAGTTTGCCTCACTAGGTGGTGCTGCATCCCAAAGGGCTAATCTTCACATTCACGAGATGCAGAGAGCGCTTCACAAAACAGCAGTGCCAGAAGCTTCAAGGGGAACTTGAGATACTGGAAACGAGACTGCTCAGCAAAACTTTGCATATCTCTAATATTTTGCTAGCAGATGATGGCATGACTGTAATATTTGCAATTCGGATTAGTGTTTCAGCCATAGAAACAAACTGAGTCAAAGAAAACAGAGAGAGGGAGTATAGCCGTTCTCCAAAGGGAGAGATTACAGAACTATGTAAAGATAAAGCATTAACCACTGGGAGGTTAACTCAGGGCGTAGCTGGTCACACATGGAGTGTTCAGTCTAAAATTCACGTGTGAGCTCGACAGGGTGCAAGTGTGCATTCCGTGCTACGTGGAGGTTTAGCGTAAGGAGGGCAGTTCTGACCCTCTCAGCACCCAGGGTGGATCACAGCAAGGAACTACACCGCAGCAAACACTATAGTGTGTGTGTCATTTCAATTCTGGATGCTTACAATATTGATTCCTATTTTACTGTGCTGGGGAAGACTCAAATTTACACTTCAAAGAGCCTCCATCTAACATTTAATGGGTCGGACATTTAATGGGTCCCAAAGACAAAAAGGCTTATAGATAAATGAATGAAACGTTTTAACTTTGGAAAGAGTATAGATTCTTCAGAAGCATTCAGCTTGTATAATCTGATCTTTACAGAGAAAAACCTGGTGTGTGCAAAACAATAAGAGAGTGATGGCTACTGAAGTTGTAAGAGATAAGATAAATTCCTCAAAAACTTAAGTTTATAGCAACTTTTTGAATTACATACATCCCTACACCCTAAAAAACGTGATCTGTTGATTGGAAGGCTAATGATTTATTCATCATTGGTAGGTGAACATTTAGGTAGTAATTTGAATTACAGTAACATTAGGGAGAAAGTAAGTGAGATTATGGAGCATTGGCACAGACAGGCTCCCAGTAAGTGGAATTTAGGTAAATCCATTGAACCAAGCTGAAAGGTTATAGCAACCTGTGCTTTAACACCACCAGGTCAGACAGGAGAAAGCTGCTTCAGAAACAGAAGGACCCACAAAGAGTTAACTTAGTAAAACCCCATATTGGAAGTGTCTGCTCTCATGGCTATAGGACCACGAGCATGCTTGTGTTGGAAAGGGGAAAAACTTTGCTGTTAACTCATCAAGCTGCCTGCTTACTTCTCATGTTCCACTTGTGTGAACAGCAGTGGTTACTAAGAGCAGACAAAGGGGGGAAACACTGTATGATCACAGCAGAACTGGGCAGGGAGAGTGTCCAGTGATATCTAGGCACAGGAGCTGAGGTAATGTCTGCTGAGCCCTATTTGGTGCATCAGTAGATGTCTGTTTCCTATGAATAATTCTGAGATGCGTGTTCAGATCCCTTCCTAGGTGCTTGTAGCAAAGGTACACCTGAATTATGGTGATTTTGCTGTTTGATATTCAGAGATAAGAGGTGGTCATGGATGCAACAGGACAGTCCTCAGAGATTTGAAAGAGCTACATTTATGTCATCTCTTCCTTGATGCTTTCAGGAAAAATAGTCTGAGTAGAAGTGATTCTGGGCCATCACTTAGCATCTTCAGGCTATTAGGCTAATGAAGACATGACACTTTAAAATAATGCTTAACATATTTATGTACTAGCATATTCAGAACTGGGATCTGCATTTACTGAACTTGCAGTATGCCTACCTGTTCCTAAGTGCCAGTGGGAATCCACTTTCAGTAGGGAATCCCCCCTTTGAGTAGGAGTGCATTGTTGGATTTAAAAAATAGAAGTACATCTAGACAAAGCAGTGGCAGATGTGTGCTGATTCTTACAGAGAAATTCAGTTTGTGAGTTAGTCAAGGAAAAGAAGGTCAAGGAAACACAATGTCTTATATGACAGTACAGCATTTGCTATTCAGATGGTATAGGGGAATTAGATGTGTTACAAAATAGTAGCTCTAAGTTGCCTGATAAAGGTCCTTAAAAAGCCATCAGATAGCTGAAAGAGATGAACTAAGTTGCTGAATGCCAGGAGTACTGGCACTTTATAAATGTGATGAAGGGAGAATTTGTACTGAGCTTACAAGAGGCAAAATGCACACTGGAATCAATGTACCTTTTAAATAACTAACTGTAGAGGAAGCAGAGACATGCAGCAGACCTGCATGTTTATTGCTATTGCAGTCTGTGGCACTTGTCTATACCTACAGCTAATGAGACAGATATGGGAATACAGGGCTTTCATGGGCACCTATGAGAGATTACACTGTCATCATTTCCTTCCCGCCTTCATGCTTTAGGGCTATTTGGTAATGCTGCTTGTGGCAGCTGATAGTGTCTTTAGACTCAGATGCCTTACTTAAATCTGCCTTTACATTCAATCAGAATTTGTGAATTCCTAGCCTTCTAAGGGCTACCTGCTACCTTTTAATGGAAGAGTTAGTAAGGAGATGAGAGATATACTGTTATGTTTTGACAGCATTTGTGTATTTTTTGCTGTACCAGAAAGAAACATGTCCTGAATTAGGATACATGTCTGATTGCAAAGGTAGGGAAATGTGAAAAGATGGTGGAAATGGCTTATTTAGAACACAATACAGATAACTTTTCAAAAAAACCAGCGATTCCAGTCCTTTACTGAGACAGTGACACGTATTTGTAAAATATTCCAATACCGTTCCTGTCAGTGAGCAGTATACAAAATTTGTCAGACAATGGAATGGTCTTTGACATCTGGAACATAGATTAACAAAGCAGCTGAGACATGTGTCTATTGACAAGAAATTGGTGGTCTTTTAAGATACGTTGAAAGCAGATCTGGGACAGTTGTAATGCAAGTGAATGCTAGGAGAAGGAAAATGCTAAGTTTTTACTTGAAAACAGTTGTTAGCTTCTTTTCTGATCTAATTCATCAGTGTTGTAAGAAGAAGGTAAAAGAGTGATCAACACGAGAAAGAACTGCAATGACTGAGAACTGTGTAAGCGCCAGGTTCTTCTGGAGCTGCGTTAGAGTTTGGGGTGACAGTTGTCACTCTGTTTTGATGGTATCATATGAAAGGTTTCAGTGCCAAACTCTAAAGATGAAGTGTCAGCTTTCAAGGTTATAACATAAAAGCTGGGGTTTTTTTAATGTGAGTGTGAATGCTCACAGAAAGGTTTTCTCAGTTTCCTTTTATCATTAGGGAAATAGGCATATAGGTGAATCTCAGTTGACTTGCAGAAAATATGTTATCTGGGAGAAGTGACCTCGTTCAGTTGAATCCCCCCCTCACACACATAAAGAAAGTTGTAGGAGTGTGTAATACTTGTGTGAACAATCTGTGAGATTTGACTCACCCACTCAGATTGTATTGTTATGCACTGAGTGGGTTAACCAGTCTTCGGGAAGCGAGATGCAGCAGGGTTTTTATATAGCTGCCTGAGTTTGTCAGAGATTTAAATTGAAACACAACAGATTCTAAAATCTGCTTTACGGACTTAAGTACCAAAGTACTTAACTGTTGGATATATTAAAGTCCATTAGTGACTTTACAAAAATAGAAATATTGCTTCAATGAGAGAGTTTGCCTACAATTCATGTTATTTTCTATATTTGTTTAAGACACTTTTCCAGTTTACAAGTATTTTCCAGTTTACAAATAAATTCTACTCAAGTAGACATCATTTGGTATAGTTTATTTTTTAAAGACTTCCAGGAACTTGCAAATATTTTGTCTAAGGATGTACTAATTTCAGTTCACTAGACAGACCATGGAGGAAAGTTCTTGTCTCACTCAGCGATCTTGCCTCAAATCTCAGGAACCTGTAAGGGTTCTTCTAATGAAGAAGCTATGCCTAAGGCTAGTTAGAGCAACAGTAAAGAAGTCTGGTGAAAAAGCCCTTTCAATCATGAAAAGGTGAAAGTCTGAACAAGATTTTTAGTAATATGCATGGAAACTGCATCTTAGAAAAGCACTAAAAAGGTAGAACACTTAGCTATCTATATAAAATCCTAGAGAGAGGCCTGAGCTAAAGACAACACCCAATTTATTGAGCAGAGAGACAGGCAAAGATGGTTCTGTTTTCTATGGAATGTGAACAAAGGACTGGCAGAGAAGGACTGTGGAAATTATTTCTCTTTTAACTACATTCAGCTTAAGCTGACTGCTAGGTAGGCATCTAGTAACAAGATTAGATTTTGGAAAAAATGGTGACTTTTTTTTTAATGTATTTTCTTCATTTCATAAATATTCTCAAGACAAACTTTAAATGAAAGTATGGCCTATTCCAGGAAATAAATTCTGAAGATCTGAGTTCCAAAGATCTTCCCAAATTCTCTTGAAGCCAAATATGACAATGCATTTTTATTCATATTCTCCTGATGCACATTTGCTGTTTATAATTCTGAGCTGCTG